TATGGCAAGGCATAGATTGCCGTAATGTAACCACAGTCCTAAACAAGAAAGAAAATTCATTCTTCATGTTGTGTTCAACTCTAACAGATGCAATCGCCGTATAATCTTTATTCTAATTTGTGCACGTAGTCTTTCTTCGTACCGTTCAGATGACTGAGTTTCCATTAGTCACTGCTCTTCAGGACAGTTAGGGTAAGATGTAGCTGTACATGTGGATGGAGCTTATTTTGTAGAGTTTATAGAGCTACCAGTACTTTACCTCTTCATGCCTCCAATTATAAATTCTTCCTATAAAAACAAGCCTGATTAATGGAGGTTGAACTCACATGGCGCAATACCCAGTCACCCCTTTCCCTGTCAGCCCTACAGGTACAGAGCGTGTAGAAATGTCTGTTGCATGGGCAGTCCCAGCCATGCACCTCCCCATTTAACACCCACGCCCAACAAAAGCGTATTTCCAATACAAATGATACCTTATGATGTGTCCCTGCTCACTGCAGGGGGATTGGACTAGATGACCTCTAGGGGTCCCTTCCAACCCAAAACATTCTATGATTCTATGTCAGATGTCTCCAGCCAACCAGCAAAAATGAAGACCTTCTCAAATTTTAGCACATGCCTTACAGGAGGTTTGCAGGATCCGACCCTAGATCACTTTAATCTAGCAGTTTAATTCCTTTTTCGCAGTATTTGTAAATTATGGCAGAGGTTGGCTTTCAAGGATGGTGTGTCAGACCACACTTTTCTTTCTCAAATTAGAGATTAAGCCTGACAGCAGAAATGCAGCGAGAGCCAAGGCACGTTGCATCTCAAAGAGACAAGGTGCTGCTGATCAGCTGGTTGTTGATACCTTGCCGTGTGGCGGCAGCAGCTCCTGCTCAGTCAGCAACTCAGAGGGAGCCAGGAGCTGGGTATTGGTGCTTCTCACAGCCCCACCAAAATGCTGTAGCTTCAGGCCCTGTGGCATCCACGGTTGGACAGAAATAAACGATGGCTCAGTACATCCATACTGTACTTATTACAGCAGTACCCCCAGCAATGTTGTTAGAAAGCGTTGTTCATTTTTTATTATGGAAAGAATACTCAACTGTGTTTATATTTTCTTTTGCATGATTTCTCATGTGTATGAGAATAATGGCAGTAGCAAGGGAGATAACTGTGATTAATTTCACTAGTTCTTTGCTGGAATGAACAAGCTGCAGCATTCCATGTTTGTGTATAAGTCCGTGTAAGGTTTGTTAAAATATAAAAAATAAACCCAAGCAGGATTACATACTAATTCCACTTGTAACAGAAAACCTATGACAGGCATCAACGGTGAAGGCTTTAAACTTGATGTGAGGATAAATGTTATCCTTATCAAAACTACTAGCTGGCATGTTTCTCTTGGACTTTTTCGATTTTTGAGATGTTTAGAGCATATTTTGCTTAACTCTTAAAGCACTGAAATAGCTCTCACTTGTACTCTTTTGTTCACCAGTCATAGGAAGACAAATAAAATCTCAAGATACTTGAGACAAATAAAATCATACCTACTCCTTTTTATCTTCTGTCTCCTTCCACCCCTCAGTCTTCTAGAAATCTCGAGCCACTCCCAGTCTCACTGGAATCTCAATTCAAGCTTTTTGGTTAACTTTACACCTCTGTGAGGTGCACCCTTTCTACAGCAGCCCACCTCTGGTGCAATGCTGACTTAGCGCTGTTTTGCTTCTTACCTTCCCATACGCCCTGCCCTCTTTTGGTTGTTCTCAACTTAGAGAAAGAGCAGTTACCTTCAGGAGAAGTAAACATAGTCAAGAAGATAGCAGGGAAGAGGTAGAATTTCCTTGAAGAGTAGAAGCTTATCCTAGAAGTCCTAATTTACTTCTTAAATTATTTTAAATATTTTTAGGTAACTTAATTAAGAACAGAGCTGGGCAAAGAGAATGCATATTGCTATCTTTGTCTTATCCATTTCAGAAGAATTTAGCCAAGTTAAATAAACTGTAGTAGAACTCAATCCTCTAATTCAGGTTACTAACTTAGTAACTGCTTCATTGAAACTGTAAGTGCTTGGCTCAGGAAAGTGAGCTAATCCACATACCAGTAAAGGTCTGCAGAGGATGCTGATGGCATGGTCTGGCTTTGGCATCTTCCCCCATGTTGAATCTGGCACTTCGGGGAGTTTTGAATGCTTTCTTAAATTGTGTAAAGCCGTGGGAAAGGTTAGGACCTTCTGTTCATTCATGGCCTCTTCTAAGGACAGACACATAACAAGCTAAAGGTAGGCATAGCGCTACATGATGCATATGTTAAAGCCAATAGTGGTCAGGAAAGCAAAAAGAGGAAGGTTGTGTTTTGGGCATGCAGTTGCATGGAAAGAAAGCCCTTTTGGTTGAAGACTGCCTCCATCTGTGCATCTTGTGCTAGATCACCAGTGGGTAAGAAGAAAACTAGTCTGGCTACAGGATGTGGAAGCCCTCTGCTTCTTCACTAGCAGGCTCCCAAATAGGCAGCCCTTTGCCTTTCCTCTCACTAACTCATGACTCCTCTGGGTGCCTCTAGAAGAATAATCCATACAGAACAACTCTCCAACAGTTTAACTCATGACTCCTCTGGGTGCCTCTAGAAGAAGGTAGATAATCCATACAGAACAACTCTCCAACAGTCCCTGCAGCAAGAATAGAGCACAGAACCTAGATCTTTCTGATTCCAGTTTAAGCAGAGGACATCTCGTGCCAGTATGCCTGAACTGCAGCAGAGGTGTAAGTGATACATAAGTGCCTACCCTTGCAAGAGATATTTTTTCAATGAAGATAGCGTGGGCCAGAGACAGTTGCCACTAGGCAGCTAGAATGTGGCCACCCTATTCTGTAGAGTAGATCTCAGTAGTGCAAATGTGGGATGTTGTATGTGGGGTCTCAGGGTGAGAGCGTGATTTGAATACACTAATAGAGAGGTAACCTTTCAGGCAAGAAATCTGCAGGGTTAGGCAGTCCTGAAAACTGTAGCCTGGGAATAAGATTGGGTTTTGGCACCAAAGTTTGGATGTAGGCACGCTAAACCTCACAGTAGATTTCCAATACTCGTGAACGTACTTTGTTTTGTTGTTCTTCTGCACCTTCAGGTGCACAGTTCTAGCATCCAGGACTTATGTTGGTCTGTTTAGGGTTTGAATGCCATACTTACGGGCTGTTTGAGGGATAATTTTATATTGAGGGGATCCCTAGGTTGCCATCAGTCAAGACCTTTAGAGCAGAAAAGACTGCTACCAAGGCGAGAGTAAACTAACACAGCTGTTATAATGTCCAATAATGCAATATCCTGAAAAAGAATGAGGACAAAATATGAAAAAATGCATTAACTCAACTGAATGGATACAAAAATGAAGTCAGTTAAATGATGCAGAAACTTTGCGTATACTGTTATCTCTCATTCCTTTCCCTGCACCTGTGACTTTTTTCCCAAAATGCCTAATCCTCTCCTCCTCCGTAATCTTCCTCGAGGCTCCCTTTGACACTTCTAGAGGGCAGTTTATGGTCATGCAGCAAGTCTGCAGCAAAACTTGGAACGATGATCTGGCGTCCTACCACCTAGGCTCCAGTGAAAAGCTACTGGATCATGATATTTCTTGATACTACTAATACTGTTTTATTATCTATCTTCTCAGTAACAGAGCTGAATAAAATACTGAACACTGATTCTTTTGCTGAGAAAAGGAATTTTTTTTGGACCTTTTTCTGGGAAGAGTTTCCTTTTTTGGATTGCTGCACTTGATAATAGTAGTCCAGGCCTTTCAGAGAAACATTTTCAATTATGGAACATTATACTTATATTAGAAGACTTTATTAAGTAGGAAGATGGGTCATTACTTAAAGAAATGCTTTTAATCGAAGATACAACATTCCTCAGAAGCTCCTTCAACATTGCAGAGAGTATCTGAGTATAAGCTTTGAATTTTACTTACACAATTAAAAATTGCAAAAAAAAGGTCTTCCTTTGGATCCAAAGAGGAATTATAAATGTGAGTGTACATAGTTATTCCATTTCAGTGGCTGTGAAACTGTGAACATTGAAGCAACAGGGAATTGTTTAGTAAGTTTCAAAATTCCCTTCACTGCTAAAGCTTGCTCAGAATAAGAATATAGTTTTCCATCATTAAATTAGAGTGAATATGTTTCTTCTTACCTGTGATAGTGTAACTACATTACAGATGTGATTTTGAAAAAGGGGGTAGTTTTGTGTATACAATTACTTCTAAAATAGGGCGCACTGTCTGATAATTATTTTTATTTTTACAATAAAACCTAAGACTGCATTTGCTGTCAAACTGTTTAGTACAATGTAATTAAAAAGCTTAATATTTTGTCAACATGGGAGACGAGAGATAACCGAGTCCACATCCATACCTGTAACAAATATACAATATAAGAAATATATATCCCTCATCAAGGCAAGGCCATTTTTATGGGAATGACTTTTCTTGGGATTCAACAAAAAGCTAACGCATAGTTACTGCCTTTTTAAGAAACAATTTAGAAAAGGGCAATTTAGCCAGCTTGGTAGGTGATATTCACAAAGAAAACCATAGCTCATGAGAGTTAGTCATTTGTATGTGAGAGCTTGTTCATGTCCCCTTCTCTCAACATTCAGGTTCATGACTGAACATGTGAATTAAAAAGGGTGGAAGTTCAGAGCAGGGACATGTAAATTCAAAGGGGAATATTTACACGGTAACTGTTTTTAAAATAAAATTTCTTAATAAGAGCATTGCGTCTTTAGAAAATTGGACTGTTGTTCCCAGGTGTATAGTTTTACAAGATCTATCTGACTTTTATATTAGCTGTCAATACAAAAAGAATTTGGAAGAAAGAATAAAATTGTGAAATCACTACTGGTAAGTACTTTTTTTTTTTCAGTGAAATAAAACTTTGTCTCTGATACTGTTTTTATTACCATTTTGGATTACAGATTTATTTTCAATGACCTATCAAAATTAACAGGCTCCTTACTGTTCACAGTTTATCAGGATGCCCCAGAGCTACTTCAGCAATGAAGAAAGCAAAGCTGTCTGGAGAACAAATGCTAACAATAAAGCAGAGAGCCAGTAATGGTAAATTTTTAATCGTTACCTTTTTAAGTATTACTTCTTTGTGAGCTAAAATTGTCATAACTCTATAGGCTTTTTTTCCTATGTATGTAAATCCTCTTTGTATAAATAGTGAATTCACTGTCAGTAGAATTGAAACTGGGTTTTGTGCTGTGGAAATCTGAGCCAGCAGCGGAGTGGTCAGACTGGTCTGAGTTACGTCTACATATATCTAAAACACTAAAATATTTCCAAGTAGAATATACCATTATAATTTTCTGGTTCATGTCTCATTCGCCACGGTGGATAGTTGGTCTTATATTGTTGCAGGATTCAAAAGAGAAAAATAATTGATTTCCAGAGATGTCGAGTCCTCATGAGTACCCTTGAATTCAATTGGAGCTGTGGCTCTGTAACCTCTGGCAGGTGTCGATGGCCTCATGCCATTTCATCTCCAGTAATCTGCAATCCTTCCTGGGAACCCTGAGATGATGAGAATACCTTGGATGAAAGTCAGGATGGTACCCTGATAGCTGAAGTGCAATTAAAGCAACATGTAGGTGCTTCAGTTCAAATAAGTAATGCACAAAAGGCTTGTCTGGGAGGTGCCCAGGTCCCGAGTTTTCCTGGAAAATCTACTGTAGTCACTTAGTGACGTAGTCACTGTGACTGCGCATGCCTGAAGATACTGCCCTCTTACCTCTTGGTGTTGACGGCGTTGGAGAGCTGCAAAGCATTTATGGAAAATGCTCTGTTCAGCACAGTGCAGGAGGCACCGCAAGCCACATGGCCAGCACAGCTGGAGAAAGTCCTGGTTGCCTTTGTTCAGTAGCTGGTGACCAGGGAGTGGAAGATCTGGATGTAATTTTCTCTGCAACCTAGGAAGTACTGAAAACTGTATCTGCCATGCAGAAGAAGGCAGTGGGAACACCAGTTTCTCTAGCTTTAGGAGTTCAGAGTTTCACTTGAGAGAAAACAGATCTATCTCTTCCCAGGACTATTTTATGCTTTCTTACAGTAATTAAAAGGATAAATAAAACCTTTACCGTTTATTCCTGTCTGAATCTTTAAAGATGCAGGCACCTTTAAATTCTATTCTCTTAATGTTTATGCCATAAAACCTCAGAAATCACTTGCATTTTGCAAATTATCCTATATATCATTGTTTAATAATACCCTTCTGAGACATGAAATTATTAAAAGCAACAGCAGAATCACAATATAACCCAGTGCATCAACAACATTTCACTGTATTGGGAAAGAAAATATTCTGAATTAATTACAAATTATTTTAACAACACTGTAACATGAAGAGATTAGCATGTTAAGATACTTTTCCTTCAGAAGATCTGTAAGTGGACACAGTCATTCAAATAAGTTACATATGACAGTAGAGCAAAATTTGTTGTTGCAGGTGCATTTCTTATAATACAAAGTTAAATCAGTACATTTAAAGAAAAAGGTGTGTCTTGTTGATCCTCTAGGCATTTTCAACACTCGCTGGAAAATTACTGCAATTTTTAAAAGAAAAGTAGTGGAAAATACATTGTTTTAACTTCAGAAGACAAGTTTGAAGAAAGTTTCCTTTTTTACTTTAATACTTTTACTTGAAATAAATTTATTTTCAAATATGGAAATAATTCACTGAACTTGAATTTAAAGCTTAATTATTTTAACATCCCTTTTACTTTTATATCACACAGGTATAGAAAATGATGAAGAAATTAAACAGTTAGATGAAGAAATCAAAGAACTAAATGAATCCAACTCCCAGATGGAAGCTGATATGATTAAACTCAGAACTCAGGTAACAGTTTTATGAAGCCCTAAATTCAGCTGCTTTTTCTGCATGACTGATCAAAAGAAATATAGGAAATACATAGTTCCCTTTTATGTTTATTACATATTAAGATTTCTATCCATGATTTGCCATTTATAAAATCAGAAAACAATATCCATTATGCAATCTCCGCATCAGTTACCAGCACAAAAAAAAAAAAAAAAAAAGGCTTTGCAAAATATATTCTTTCAAATAATGGCAAAAGCATGACCTGTCATGGTCAGCTTTGTATTTCCCCTTGGTAAGGCTACACCTTTCTAATAGCCATTAAAATATTGTGTGAGATCATGGTCATTAACATAAGTTACAAGGTGAAGGAGTCCAGATGAACAGCATGGCTTTGCCAGGCGTGTGTTACAGAGAGGGAAGCGAGCACCTCTTACACTTCATCATGCGGTACACTAAGTGCAGCCCTTGGCAGCAGTAAGGGTTCCACAGATACAGCTTAATTCCTTTTAGGTTTCACATAAATCTGTTCAAAAAAAAGGAAAATCTAACATTAAACTATTACTTTAAAACTAATTTTTCACCAGTCCTAAAACTGGGTGGAAAAGGCAAAGGAAGGAAATGAATTTAATTCTTTCCCTGGCATTTTCTGGTGTCCAGCACAGCTTCTGGTCCTTTTTTCTTCACGTGGTTTGAGCACAGACACCAACAGTGAGATTTACTGCAGCTCTCACCATTTATCAGCCTTTAGTCCCTCAGTCATAATCATCCAATTGATCTTGATGGAAACAAACTAAACCATTCCTTGTTACTTCCTCGCTGCTTGTGGAGAAGAGCGCCATGTCCACTGTCCTCCTCTTCCTCTTGTACACTCATAAATAGAAGGCAGGATCTGCCTCTTCAGTTTGTTTTTTCTTTGACTTCTAAACCTTAGCCAAACTGATATTGAAACGTCACTTCTATTTTATGCCAGTATTCAGGGTTCTGTTGTCATTATTTGGCCTTTATAGGATTTGACTTAACCTTTACACAGATTTCCGATGTGACCAAGTGTAACTGTAGGATAATGAGGACAAAATCTGCAAGAATAATAATCAATAGCAGGAGAATTATATGTATTTATACTGGAGGAATTTGGTTCTAAATTTTGTACCTGGCAGCTTCAATCTGCCTTATGTTTTCTTTTGCTTAATACAACGCTGTGGGTGCTATTCACATACGGACTGATTTAGCTGAGATTTTAAAAAATGTGAAGTACCCATTATGTGTACATTAGGTAAATGCTCCAGTTGTCACCAACTTTTTGCATTTTTAATTTTATTTTTGGCCAGATGAATAAAAAAAAACCAACTGTGATAACACTATTACAGGCGTAATACTTGTATTGAGTTTCAAATACTTAGCTAGGAATTCCAAATCAAGTTTTGATCTGTAATGAGTACAGAAGCCATACTTGAGTGGTCTCAGTTCCAGCTTTCATATTTAAGACTAGTGCCATCACACAGTCTTAGAAATCAGATTAGGCACCACCTGGGACCACTACCTATTCTTAGTAAAAAAAAAAACTCAACTGATGATTTTTCCATCAAGTTGAAAGAAAGCTTTTTCACACCTTGGTGCAGCAGATTTAGAAAAACGGTAGAATAACTGGCAATGACACATACTGTAACAATTAATAGGATTACTACTGTAAATAATTAATAGTATTCTAGAAAATAGAGCTAAAGAGACCCTGAAATGTTATTTTGTCCACCAGTCTTCTTCCCTTCCAACTTCCCAGCTCTTCCTGAGTCAATCCTGACAGATGCTTGTCTAACTTCCTACACTAGAGATGCCACAGCCTCTGGGCAGTCTGGCCTAATACTTACCTCTTCTTGCCCAGCTAGCCACTGATGCTTAGCAGAAAATCCCAGCTGAGTCAAACTTCACAAAGTTCAGAGGCCTCAGTTTTGAATTTCTGTACTCTCCAGACAACAGGGAATTTACATTTCCAACATCTAGAGAATTACTTCATAGTCATTATCAATCTATTAAGAGGATCAGAGTCAACAGTCCCCTTTATTTGCAATAGTAAAATTATATTGAATGTAACAAAATATTTGCTGATAAACCTTTAGAAAATCATTGTGCAACCTAGATTTCAATCAGACTTCACAGGCAAGGAATACGCAATGGAAAAATAGTGGAATTTCTGTGAACACCAGAAGCAGCATCAGTCTTGTTTGATATGGATTTGCATCCCATATGATTGTAAGTGCCAGTGAAAGTTCTTCCTACAACAGGAGCTTCCCTTCAATGTAGAATCTTTTATATTTAATAAAGTGAGAAGTCACACTGCAGCCTTTTTCTTAGTTGGGGCATTCATAAGACTCTGCTTTACTCAGCTGCCTTTTTGCACAAGACTTGGAAGAAAGTATTTTTAATCTAAGATCTCCCAGTAAATTTGTCCAGATTTAACATGCAGGTTGAAAAGTAGGAGAGGGGCAGAAACACATAAAGGTGAGAGAGGGAAAGAAAAATCTGCAAATAACTGTGTGTCTCATACCAGCAACATGTTATCCAGGCTTTAGAATGGATACAAGTGAATATTCATTAGTTTTAGAGTAAAATGTGGTGAGGGAAATTCCAGCCTTTAAGCAAGTGTATACGATAATTAAGTATGCCAGTTATCCTAAGATACTTCCAGATGAGTACAAAATGAAATTACGAGATATGCTGATCAGCTGCCACTGTATCTGCAGGTAGTCAGTATCTCACATGCAGAAGAAAAAAAGATCTATTCAAGTAGCAGTGCTTAACTAACTAGAAAATCTATAAAATGTCAGCTCCTACTTAAGTTAGCATGAGGCAGCAGCAGTATGCGATGCTGAACTGGGCCTTCATTGACATCAGACTCTTCACTTTGGTCTGTAATATAAAAAAAAACAGTTTTTAGGGTAAATACTGGAGCATGACTGACTCTAACAAGCACCTATGAAAGATGTTCTGCATTTGCATACAGCATTGCTCTCCAACATAGGCTGAAAGCAAAACAAGACAGGATGTGTTTCCAGTTTCAAAGCTGAAGAAAGTATTTTGCCTACTATAATATGTTGTAGAAATACTTCAAAATCAATTAATTGTGACAAAACCAAGCACCTGCAATACTGACAGCTTGAATTAACTGCTTAATAAACACCTGTAGTCAAAGTAAGAGATACGTGAAGATTGTTTTATGAAGCCACATCACCTGTCAAAGCTGCTTCTATCAACTAGTGGGCCCTCTTGTCAATTCATATTTTAACCTACACACACACAAAAGCACACTGTACGCTTTGTAATAGATGTTAACGGTTATCATCCAATGTGAAACGTAAGGACAGGTCTACAGCGGAAAGTGTAGACAGATAGGAGTGAGCTCTGCATGTGCTCTCGACAAGTTGGACATAGGCCGGTGCTCATCTGAACTCCTTACAGCTTCATCAGCACAAAGCTTGGCATGAGCCTGGTAAGTTGCCTCTCAGCAACGCTTTTTGGCTCAGGCACGGCACCATGGAAGGTCAGAGCTAACTTGTGTCTGGTCACCTGGGAACATAGGCAGAGCACACTCTCAGCTGTCTTCACCTGTACATGTAGTCACGCCCCAGGGACCCGCTCTCCTGGCTACGTGCAAATTTTGTTCGGTTCCTTCAGTCTGGCATGTCACTGTATTTTTTAGAAAACTTCCCGAATTTGTACATACGTTGCAATAACATGCAGGTGTTCAGCTTTCAAAAGCAGCCCTGTGAATTTGTATAGAATCAAACTACACTTGCAACAAGCTAAACACTGGCAGCAAGGAGCTGTGCATGTTTAACAAACAGTATACATATGTGTATATATATTGCAGAAAATACGAGACGTGCATGCCTTACTGCGGAATGTCCCTACGGTAGGCTCCTAGGAGCAGAGCGTTTAACCACACGGGTGAACTTGCAGGTCCTTCTTAATGCCTTTCAGCTCCGGAAGAAAAGCTCTAAAGCAGTGGAATCAAATCCAAGTTCATTCATTATTACCAATACTGAAAAGACAAGCTGTTAAAGTCATACAACACGCAGTAGGAGTAAGAAACCCGTACAATGATAAAAATTGCAGACTCAAGCAAAACCTTTTTAAGCGTGAATGAATAGGCCCTTTTCTCCTTTTCTCCCTGGTATTTCTGTTATCACTCCCTTCGAAGAGCGCATGCTTTATAACAGCTTGCCTTATATTACATTGTACACAAATTTGTCCATTTTAGATTACCACAATGGAGAGCAACCTGAAGACGATAGAAGAGGAGAACAAAGTAATTGAACAGCAAAATGAGTCTCTTCTTCATGAATTGGCCAATTTAAGCCAGTCTTTAATTCATAGTCTAGCTAATATCCAGCTGCCACATATGGTAAGTGATTGAGAGCACAAGTTAAGGAATTTGGCGATCTTCAGTTCACTTCATACAATAGATGTCTTTTTTTATGTTTATGTTTCATCAACCAGTTGGATATTTGTGGTAACAACACTGAAACCATAAAGATACATTTAACTGCTAACAAAGACATGGAGGGCCTGTTCCAGTGTATCCTGTAAAATTAAGTAAGAACTAAATAGGCATTTTAAATATTATAAAAAATGGTGGCAATATGCCTTGATAATATGTTATGCTTAAATGAATATACGATTAAGAAAATAAAAGTTGTATATGAACTACTATTTAATATCTCGTAGGAACCAATCAATGAACAAAATTTTGATGCTTACGTGACCACTTTGACGGACATGTATACAAATCAAGATCGTTATCAGAGTCCAGAAAATAAAGCCCTACTGGAAAATATAAAGCAGGCTGTGAGAGGAATTCAGGTCTGAACAGCTGCTATAGTGGTGAAAGTCTTGCTTAAAAAAAGGATGCCTCTTGTTTTTTGCTGCTGTAATTTACCAGAAAGTGTTATATATTTATTTCTGTTTGAAACAGTGTTATGCTTACAAGACTTCATAATGATTTTATGTCTTGCTTTAAAGATAGTAACTGCAGAATAGTTTTTTGAATACATTCACATTTTGTACGTTTTCATATAAGCTGACATAGTGTGATATGCCATGTAATGTTTATAGCTGCTAATGTATGCACATTTTTGGGGTATATATATTTCTGAAGAGGTAAGCTGATCAAAATAAATAGAGTGTAAATTCTTTTTAATGCTTTAGTGATTAAATGTTTTAGTATTTTGAACTGAAATGGACAAAAAAAAACCAGCTTTGAATGACAATGTTGCAGTCTGCAGCCACTTTTTAAACACTATCATTTTGCCTCATGTTGGAGGATTTTATGGGATTTAAGAAATACATTTTGTGTGCATATTGTTTCATAGCAAGAATTGGTTGCAAAAATGCTTTATTTTTGAACAATGCTTGAAAATATTATGTGACTTTTGGTTTTGGAGGATGGTGTGTGGTGGGGGCAATAAAATGAGGTTTTTTGAATTCCAAGAAAATGGCATGGATTAGATGTAAGATACAAAATGGGTAATTTATTGTAAGACAACATCAAGCCATGGAAACTTGACAGAAGATTCAAAGCAGCTTAAACAGCACTTTTTAATTAACTTCTAAGCATTACATGGTATGAATATGGGAACTTCCATTATGAAAAGAACTATATCAGAGGTGGACAACGTGAAGATTTCAGCTTTTGTTTTCAAATAAACTTTGGAGCCAACATTCTCTTATCTCTGCTGGACTGCCAGTGCCCCTCTGAACTATCTGTTATAGCAATGTAGTTCATCTTTCAGAAATTCTGTGTTTTCAATTCAAGATGGAGGACAATATTATAAAATTAATATTGCCTTTTCACATCTTTAATTTTGGGATAAACACAAATAAGCTGTGTCTATTAGAGTTACTGAACTGCAGTCGTTGCTGTCTGTAGTAGGAATGCAGTTCAGTAAAGATTTTTCCTTTTGCTTTGCCAAGCATTTGATCCCATTTTTAACATTTTAGCATTTATGTTTTGCTTTTTGTTGGAGAACAATCATTCCTGCAGCATTCACATATGCTTTGTATTTGTTCTACTATTACCTATTGCAAAAATGAATGCAATCAAATTTTTAATGTAACTAAATATACTTCAGCACTTTTTTTGCTTTAAACTGGATCATTTTAAGATAAAACTTATTTGTACCTTCAAGATTTGATTGTTTTCTTCAAAATGACTGCACTATATGTATGCATAAGACCACTTTTTATTACTACATTTTTCTTTTTTAAGTAGTAAATTTGGTGATGTGTTGTGTTTTACGGATGTTGAATTTATTTAAATTTGATAGCATATCTTTTCCTTCCATGTCTTGATGTTATGCAGAAAGTACAAAAGTACTTTAAAATTTTGTTATGAAAAAGATGGGTTTTGTAAAAAATAAAATATTTTTAGCAGAACAGGACTTACAGGGTCATTGTCCCCACAATGTGCCAGTTGACTATTTGCACTTACCTTGCCCTATATATCCATACGGAGGTGTGCAATTTCTTGTGTCATTAGCCTTGTGACACTAAACCTGAACAAATTATAGTGGAAGCCATTATGGCCAATCCAGTAATATTGCTAAGGGAGACTACAGGGATCTCACAACAAATATTCTGATACAATACTCAACCTCGGTATATATATATATGTATAAATATATGTATATCCCAGCGGCACTTTATACTATTCACTGTACAAAAGCTTACAGTTTTCCACGAGGACTTTAATAACTAGCTGGGAAAAGATTATGTAATTACTTTGGGGCTCTGCAGTATCTTATCTGTACAGTGCCCTTTTTCTGTTGTGCTATTAGTTGTAGCTGCCATGCTCAGAATTGCCTTTTTGAGAGCTGAAGCAAGGTGCTTGTTGTTCACCTTCTGCCATATATATTGTACTTTTGCCCTAGCCTCCTTTTAGGGCTTTCATTGTTCATAATGGCATATGCATTTTTCCACTGCATTGTGTCTGCAGCTTCTTTGCCAATATAGTAATGCTTTCAGTAGAGTAATAGATAGTATCAGTTTTGGATTCTTATTGTTATCACCTATGTACAATGGAAAGGGATTTTAAGCACAAATCTGCTGCTCATCTAATGTTGGTACATAATATCAAATCAAAAGTTATCTGTGACTATTATATAGGGATCACAAAAGTGTCACATATTAGAATGCTGACCTTTCATATGAAATTATTGTGAGTCATCAGAGTTTATTTATTATAACTTATTGTTCATATTCATTTCTAAGTTAATTTAAGTAATCATTTATTAAGACAGAATTTTGTATAAACTATTTATTGTGCTCTCTGTGGAACTGAAGTTTGATTTATTTTTGTACTACACGGCATGGATTTGTTGACATTTTAATTTTGCTATAAATGTGTGGAATCACAAGTTGCTGTGATACTTCATTTTTAAATTGTGAACTTTGTACAAATTTTGTCATGCTGGATGTTAACACATCTTACTCTAAATAAATAAAAAAATGTGTTGCCACATTTGTAGCACGGTGGTTCTATGATCCCTTTCAACATTTTCACTTTATTTCAAACGTGGCATCTACAACAAAGAAGTCCTCAGAGACCTTTTTTAACAAGAAGCCTTGGCCGCTGATTCCTTGAATTCTCCTAGTAGGACGCATGGCTACCTCTTCAAATGATGCGCTTCCTGCTCCATGCAGGTGTGTAAGCCCAGGAAGTTTGTTCCAACATTTCAGAACTTCCTTGAGTAGTGTTTCCTTGGCCTGAATAGTGCAACTGAAGTGTCGTGCGCAATATATTTAAAATGAAATACACTGAATATTGGGTTCCTAGACTCAAAAATGAGGAGTAAGCCAACTGAAAATGAACCTCAGTTGGAAAGCTCTTCCCTTTCCTCTGGCCTGCACTTAAGGCCTCAGGGTGCTTTTAGAACCGGTCAGCTGAAGAGGCAAATGACAACAGTCGGTTAAGGCTGCTGGTCCTCACTGCCTGTGACAGGAACAGTGACCACCAGTACATGCTGTCCCGTGCAACATTAACCCTGATCTGCACCATGACATAATCCATAATCCGTGTTACCCCTGCAATGAGTTAATAACTGGTCTAGATTTCATTATCACTGCTAAACCATCTAATTAAAAACATCTTCCCAGAAAACAAACAAAAGTAATTACACAGGGAATTGGCAACTGATTTATAAGCATAATTATGACTTTACCATATGCTTGGGTCCCTGTGTTGAGTATATATTATGTCCAGCATGATGCAGTGTTATCAATAATTAATTCTGTACATTATCCCTGCATGCCATTCTTCTTAATTGCATTCCTTAGAGATCATCCTGAATGACCAAGACAGGAGCAGCCATACGAATTCTAGACCGTCTCTCTGCCCCTAGCAAAGGCTGGTTGACTGCTGGGGGACGAGGGAAGACACAGAGGGTCCAGGACACTTTGCACAACAGAATGTAAAATAGAAAGGCAGGTAAAGCCGTGCAGTCAACTAAGGGCATCACAGCAAGAAAGAGGAAGATAATTTGTATATGACCTTGTGTATACGCAATGCGATATATATATATTTTGTAGGTAAGACAGGCAACATTTCAGAAAAATCTGATCTCCCTTTTTAGCATCACATGCCAGTTTATTCTTAATGGTGTATATCTGATACACCCAGATCTATTCTGTTTCTTGTTAGGCTTATGGCATTATGATCATGTACTCCCATAGAAGTTTTTTCACATTAGAACTTGATTCTTCTTACTGTGAGACTTTTCCTGAAAGAAACACAACAAAATGGCAAAGTTTAAAAAAAGGCTGAGAACCTGCAAGAGGTGAACAGACAGAAAAAGTGAACAGTAATCCAAAACACGAGGCCTAAACATGTCTCTATAGGAGACTATTCTGCTTCGTATATCCACAACATGGGTTATTTAATTGCTGTCAGAGTTATGATAAAGAAAATTAGAAGAACAAGTGAATCTCAAGACCATGGAATAAAGGGAAAATGAAAGAAATTCTGATAAAATTTGAATATGAAAGAACGTTTAGATACCAAAAGAACTTTTACAGCCATTCAAACACATTGCAAACTTTTTATCACCAGAGGAAGGAACCTACAGCAGCCTGGTGACATTAATACCATATGAAATAATATCATATGGGAGAGAATTGGCAGGCAATTCTCAATTTTTTTTGAGATCTGGAATAGTCAGAATTCAGCTTTTTGTGACAGATGGGCAACAGGTCAAATATGTTTGCATCCTTGCTTTTGGGACCAATAAATAAGAATAAACTACTCAAATGGAGAATGATGACACAAAAATTGAGATTTTTCAGTCACGGCAGCTTGTCTGATTTGTCATCCCACCCGCCCCCTCTCTGAAAACCACTTGTTATGTAGAAATTGCTGTACTGGATCAAGATGGTGATCCCCATGATGTAGTAACCTGCCTGGGACAATAGCCAGGACCAGTCTCTTTGCAGAAAAAGCCCTGAACTGCTTGCAAAGCAGCTGAGGGATAACCTTCATAAAGAGAAGTCGACCTCTGAATCTCAGTTGATCATAGAATCCCAGAATGTTTTGGCTTGGTAGAGACCTTAAAGACCATCTAGTTCCAAACCTCCTGCCATGGGCAGGGACACCTTCCACTAGATCAGGTTGCTCAAAGCCCCATCCAACCTGGCCTTGAACACTTCCAGGGATGGGGCAACCACAACTTCTCTGGGCAACCTGTTCCAGTGCCTCACCACCCTCATAGTGAAGAATTTCTTCCTTATATCTAATCTAAATCTACCCTCTTTCAGTTTAAAGCCATTATCCCTTGTCTTGTCACTACGTGTCATTGTAAAAAGTCCCTCTCCAGCTG